TTATAGTTATAGTTATAGTTATAGTTATAGTTTATTAAACTTGTATGCTGCCCTATTCCCAGGGGGACTCAGGGTGGCTAACAAACCAGTAGGGAAGGGGGGTAATACAAAGAAAACAAACAAGACAAAAACAAAATACAAAAAACAGATAAAAAAACTCCTCAGCAGCCGCGACAATTCGAGTGGGGCTGGGAACTCATCAGCCCCAGGCCTGCCGGAACAGCCAGGTCTTGACGGCTTTGCGGAAAGCCTGAAGGGTGGTGAGGGTGCTACTTGTCACCTACAAAGCCCTGCATGGTATTGGATCTGGGTACTTGAGAGACCACCTACTGCCAATTACCTCCCTGTGACCAATTAGATCCCACAGATTAGGCCTCCTCCGGATTCCATCTGCTAGCCAATGTCGACTGTCGACCCCCCCGGGGGAGGGTCTTCTCTGTGGCTGCTCCGGCCCTCTGGAACGATCTCCCCATGGAGATTCGGACTCTCACCACCCTTCAGGCTTTCCGCAAAGCCGTCAAGACCTGGCTGTTCCGGCAGGCCTGGGGCTGATGAGTTCCCAGCCCCACTTGAATTTTTGCGGCTGTTGAGGAGTTTTTTTAATCTGTTTTTTTGTATTTTGTTTTTGTCTTGTTTGTTTTCTTTGTATTACCCCCCTTCCCTACTGGTTTGTTAGCCGCCCTAAGTCCCCTTGGGAATAGGGCGGCATACAAGTTTAATAAACTAGAACTAGAACTCTGTGAACCGCTTAGAAAAGGCTGTAAAGCATTGTGAAGCGATATATAAGTTTAAATGCTATTGCTATTCTCAACCGCAGTAGTTAACAAAAATGCTATATTATATAAACAAATATCCCTGATGTGGAAATCTATCTAATAATCAACTTGATCCACCACACAGAAACCTATACATATATGTATAAGACAATCAAAAAATTATAACAAAGTTAAAACTAATCTTCAAATAGCTCTGTTAACCATCTGTCACTGTCATTGTATTTAACATATAGAAAAACCAATAGCTGCACAAGAAATGAAGATATTAAAGAAAATGAAAAAAGCATATAGGGAAATTGTGATTATTAAAACAACACAAAAGAAATTTGTTAAAGTTGTTATTTATCTCTCACTAGGCTTTAAAAAAAATCTTGGTATTCATTGAATACTTTCATTTAGAGAAAATTGGGAGAAAGAATTATAGATAATCAATGACATGGATTTGGCCTGCAGGTGAATGCTGTATGTTGTCTATATGGATAGGGGAAAGGAATATTAGAGACTGTCTTGGTGGGAATGCTTTTCTCATTCCCATTGTCACTTCTGATATCCATGTAACATTATTATTAGATTAATATGATCTTTAAATTTAGGAATAAGCAATTCCCATGAGGCAACTAATGGAGGCAAGATTAATTAGCAATAGCACTTAGGCTTATATAAACCACTTTACAATGCTTCATAGCCCTTTCTAAGCAGTTACAGAATCAACATGTTGCCCCCAACAATTTGAGTCCTCATTTTATCGACCTTGGAAGTATGGAAGGCTGAGTCAATCTTGAACTGGTGAGACTTCAACGATTGAACTGTTGGCAGTCAGCGGAATTAGTCTGCAATACTGTATTTTAACCACTGCGCCATCACGGCTCAGTGGCAAACTAATGGAGGCAAGGGCACAGGCAAATCTTGCTGAGTGCAGCAGACAAACAAATTAAATGTGACATTAAACACTTCATTAGCTCCATATATTAGATCAGGTTATAGGGAAGGGAATTTTAACCCCTTCCTCCTAATTTATATAGGCCTTAAAATGCTTTTTGTTTGCCTTGATAATAACTGTAGTTAGCACCAATAGCAACTTTCTAAGCTCAGTTACAAATGGCATGTTTCTTTATGTATACTGGAACCGTAGCAGTATCAAAGGAAAAGTTGTTTGGAGGCTTGGAGGCACCAACTTTCTCTTTTCAACTGTGATTCTATGATGTTGTTTTATTTCATTTTCAGCCTGTGAGACAGGTTTAACTTGTCCTTAGCTACATTGTGTTACAGTGGTGTTTTCCCCTTATCCCCACAAAGTGCAAAGGCAACGTCATGTTAAAAACTGTTAAGGTCTGTCATCTATTATCTTGGAGGGATATCAGAGCATTGAAACAAGCATAAGAGAAGACTTGGCAACTGGGACATGACAAAATAGCTTTCTATTTACTCAAGAGCCATGGTGGCGCAGTGGTTATAATGCAGTACTGCAGGCTACTTCTGCTCACTGCTAACTGGCAGCAGTTGGGCAGTTCGAGTCTTACTGGCTCAAAGTTGACTCAGCCTTCCATCCTTCCATCAGTAAAATAAGGACCCAGATTGTTGTGGGCAATATGCTGACTCTGTAAACCGCTTAGAGAGGGCTATAAAGCACTATGAAGCATTATATGTCTAAATGCTATTGCTATTGTTATTAAGGGTGGGCAAAAAGCAATTAATACTGAAATAGTTGTTTGCCCGATGTGCCCCAGTGTGGATATGGATCACCACTTCCTTCTGCAGATCCTTTTCTGTCATCCTCTCTTTATTGCTTCCCCAAGATATAATTACATGACGATTATTTTACTTTTTATTTTTCCCTGTAGCAATAACTACCAGAGAATTCAGTAGAAACCATTTAGAAGGATAAAGCTTATTCATAACAGCATTTAGTGTATGTTTGTGTGTCCATTCGCATATGTATGCAGGAATTTACACATTAAAACATATTTTAAAATTCTTCAGGTTTTTGGCCCTATATCAAACTTACTTGGCAGCAGCATCTTTCCTCAACTGATCATGCTTCATTAGAAGGTTTTTCCTATCTTGAAAAGCTTTTCTAACTTTGTACCCTTTGTAGACTGCCTGAATTTTGACAGCTGCAATATCTTGAATGGCAGCTATAGATAATGCACCGTGTTCCAGCATGAACTGAATTACTTCGTGATGATCTCCCAGCAGGGCAAAGTCAAGTGGTGTATATCTAAAAATAACAGAATATTGTTAGAGAACTGATCAAATAGAAAAGAAAGTACAATAATCAATATTTAATTAATTCAATATCCACTATCTTACATTCATTCTAGAAATAGAAGGACAGAAAGAAGTTAATGCAGTCAATGCAGTTACTTACTGCATTTGATTTGTTAAATGCTTCCTGCATCAACACCAACGGAACTGCATGAAGCTTCCTGCAATAACACCAGCGGAACTGCAAAAAACTGTGCTGCTTGGAAAATTGTATATTTTAAGAAAGTATTTGGTTGATACCTAGGACGCTGGCAGCCACCCATATGAACCATTAGCACCAGTCAATGTTATTTGTGATGCATTTTTGAATGTTCAGTTGACTGAGTTTCATGTTTAATGAATAAAGTATGATGATGATGATAATAATAACAACAACAACAACAAAAACAACATTAACAGTTCCTAGGTCCTTGGTTAGGACTCAAGCTGTTGAGTTACCAACCAGCCCCAAAGGCTGTGAATCTCACCAAAGATTAACCACCTGATGATAACAACAACAAAAACAACAACAACAATATTAATACCCTGTTTTCCCCAAAATAAGACCTCCCCGGATAATAAGCCAATTGGGCGCATGTGCTAAAATAAGCCCTTCCCTGAAAATAAGCCCTCCCCAAAAATATTGCAACACAGCAGCAACCATGAGGTGACCATGCTCGCCGCCTCCTGCACTTCAAAAATAATAAGACCTCCCCAAAAATAAGGTGAAGTGCTTATTTCGGGGGTCAAAAGAAAATAAGACCCTGTCTTATTTTTGGGAAAACATGGTAATAATAATAATAATAATAATAATAATAATAATACCATATAACAATATTTTCTAAACATATTACTTAATTGTTAATACTAAATCAAATTAATAATAAACATATCATAATAAGCCCTCAGAGTAAAATTAATCCTTCTTTTATCATTTTAAATGTTCCAACTTCTGTTTCTATTAGTTAACCAATCAGAATATGATTACACTTCCAAAATTTAGCTGACATATCTTTAAACATCTTGGCTAATCTTGTTGGTGGGAAGTGCCATCTGTAAAACATTTTATATAAGTTTTCTTCATATGCAATAGACATAGTTAATTTATAATTTCGATCCCACAATGTTTGCATTTATCCAATTCTATAGAATAACCACACACTCATTGTTTCCTTTACTTGTTCCTCTTCCATTCTAATACTCAGTAGGTAGGTATAAACTTTTAATTTGTCATCAGTTCCTGTTAGAATCTGGTTCAATTATGTTGGTTCATTATAAAAACCATATATTTTAATATATTTTTTAAATATCTTGATTGTATTTGTACTTGCAGCCACATTGTTAAGTCTATCACTTGACTATTCAAGTCCTGTTTACTTTTCAATTCCCCTTTCTCATTCAGAATATCTTTATATCTTATGATATAAGTATCAACCACATTTGGATGTATCAATGCCTCCATCATGGAGAGCCAGGATGGTATTTTCAAATAGTGTTATACCTTAATTTTTACGTATACTGAAAACATTATTTCTGTGGAAATAATTGTGTATTTTATTTTTCCCATACCATAGAAAGATGTGCCACCCCTGGTAGAGACCAATTTGATTCTGCACCTGATAACTGCAGCAAGACTNTCTTTAGAGAGCCTGGCCAAAGCAAAACTAAGCAGAATTCAACTATATATGTAAACCATTTCTTTTTCCTTCTAGTAATGAACATAGAAGATATATTTGTCTAAATTCTTGTTCAAGCAAGCCTATCTAAGGTTAAATAATCAGGATACACTCTGAATCTTTCTCATAGCAGACATAATTCAAGAAAAAAAATCTTAACACTCCCTTCACATTAGTGATTGTGAAACTTCTAGGATTTTAGGAAGGAGGACAATTGAATGCAAACTTCTAAGAATGATAAGTAATCAAGTAGTGTGCATTTTATTTTATTTTTATGTTAGTCTTGCCTGACTCCTTTCATAGTCTTTTTTCTGGGATCTAATCTCCATTTTAATTGAGCCTTCCCACTGTGTTTTATTAATGCTTGCTCTTGAAAGCTAAGTCTTTTTCTCTAAACCCAGTATCTATCTGTATCATTTGCTGTTGTATTTTCTAATAAAATTGAATACTATTTTAAACCGAATAGCTTCATGGGATTTTGGATCTTTGAGATTATAACCAAGCAACAAAAATAGGTCTTTTTAGAAAAGTGCAGATTACTAGTTTTTGCATTTAAACTGTCCTTGCATTTTCAATTAAGAGGATGAGGAAATAGTGTACAAGTTATTATTTCCTGCAATTATTGTGTGCAGTTATTTTCACTCACCAAAATCAGGGGAAAAAAGAAGATGGTCCCTTTGCTTGGGTTGTGATGGACATCAAATAGAAAACAGTTCTTAACTTAAACCAGCTAGCCTTAAACTGGTTTTAAAAAGTTTTCCATCTTGCTTTTGATGCATTCTCTCAGTGCAACTGCAGTGAGCACCTGTTCCCTTTCCCTTGTAAATTTATCTCCCCTTTCTAGCAGTTCCCTCTTGTTGCAGCCTCCTCTTTTCCCTTCTGAGGCTACGGCATATTGTATAGGTGGCATGTATTTTCCAGCCTTGATTAGTGTTTACTGAAAGTATTTTTTAAGAAACAAAGCTTCACACAGGAAATTTGTCTCAACCTGATGTTCAGCATACTTTTGCATCAAATTACTAAGCCTGGTTGAGAAGGCTTTATAGGAAGATTCTTTCTCTATCTATCTTGTGACTGTGGCGATCATAACCCATATTTTGGAACTGAAAATAATTTTGCCTTGTCAAGACAGTTCTGGACATTTTTCTCAAAGAGAAGCTTCTTATGTCTCTGTCAAACTGTTAAATCGAGGGATATTTCAAACAAATTACATAAGGAATTTTCCATCAAAGAGAAAAGTCTCACCAGGAAAGTGCATTTGTTTGTTGTTTATGTTTGTTTATTGGATTTATATGCCGCCCTTCTTCCAAAGGACTCAGGTCGGCGTATAACATTAAAAAAAAACATATTACGAAAGTTTTTTTAAAAAAATTAGAGTATCCAAAAAACAAACCCAATTAAGATTAACAATAACATTTAAAAAATCTGATTAAAATTAACAATAATCAATCATTAATTTTATTTTGTTCAGGTCAGCCCAGCTTGTTGGAAAAGCCAATTTTAGGGTGCGTCGGAAGGACTGGAGGTCGGGGATTATACGAAGCTCCAGGGCAGCTCATTCCAGAGGGAAGGCGCTCCCACAGAGAAGGCTCTCCCCCTGGGGGTCACTAGCCCTGTCTGGCTGATGGCACCCTGAGGAGGCCAATTCTGTAGGATTGCACTGGACGGTGGGAGGCTACCAGTGGCAATAGGTGGTCTCGCAGGTATCCTGGGCCTAAGCCATGGAGCTCTTTAAAGGTCATAATTAGTACCTTGAATCACACCCGGAAGACATTTGGCAACCAGTGCAGGCCGCCTAAAAGGGGCACAACATGGGAGCACCTAGGTACCTCCATGATAACCCACAGAGCTGCATTCTGGACCAGTTGAAACCTCCGGGTGCTCTTCAAGGGTAGCCCCATGTAGAGAGCGTTACAGTAGTCCAGGCGAGAAAGGACGAGGGCATGAGTGACTGTGCACAGAGCATCCTGATGCAAGAAGGGGCGCAACTGACGTACCAGGTGAACCTGGTAAAAGGCCCCCCTGGTCACGGCCATCAGGTGTTCTTTAAACTAAGCCGCATATCCAGGAGGACTCCCAGATTGCGGGCCCTCTCTGAGGGGGCTAAAATTTCTCCTCCTATCATCAAAGATGGAACAAGACGCACAAATCGGGATGACGGAAACCACAGTCACTCAGTCTTGGAGGGATTGAACTTGAGCCTGTTCCTCCCCATCCAGATCCGCACAGTCTCCAGGCATCGGGACATCACGTCGAGGGCATTGTTTGGGTGGTTTGGGGTGGAAAGTTGGGGATCATCAGCACATTGATGATACTGTACTCCAAAACCATGGATGATCTCACCCAGCGGTTTCATATATATGCTGAACAGGAGGGGTGAGAGAACTGACCCTGGGCACCCCACAAGTGACACGCCTCTGGGTCGATCCCTGCCCTCTAGTCAACAGAAACTCCGACCGATTCGACAGGTAGGAGGAGAACCACCGTAAAACGGTGCCCCCCCACTCCCAACCCCCCCGAGTCATCGCAGTAGGATACCATGGTCGATGGTATCAAAAGACACCGAGAGGTCTAATAGGACCAGGACAGAGAGAAAAGTCTCACCAGGAAAATGCATTTGTATAAGCATCAGTATCAATATTCATTATGCTTAGACCACAGCTTGTTTTTATGTAGTTTGCAGCCAGTTCCTCGTAACAGACTCATAAACTTACATTTTTCTTTTACCAAAGTAACAAACAAAAAATACATTTCAATTCAAGATTTCTGGATAGAAAACAGACATCAGAGCTTATTTCAGCAAAACAGTTGTAGAGATAAATCTCAAATTCAAGATCCAACAATAATCCATTTTCAATCAAAATTTCCAAGGTAATCAACAGATGACTGACGGAGAGAATATGTATGTATGTGTGTGTGTGTGTGTGTGTGTGTGTGTGTGTGTGTGTGTGTGTG